GAGAGAGAGAGAGCGAGAGAGAGAGAGCGTGAGCAGGGGAGGGTCAGAGAGAGAGGGCGACACAGAATCTGAAGCAGGCTCCAGGCTCTGAGCTATCTGCCAGCGCAGAGCCCAACGCGGGGCTCGAACCCACTAACTGTGAGATCATGACCTGAGCCGAAGTCGGCTGCTCAACTGACTAAGCCACACAGGTGCCCCTATGGGCAATTAATCTTTGCCAAGCAGAAAAGGATATCCATTTTAAAAAGCTAGTCTCTTCAACAAATGTTGGGAAAACTGAACAGCTACATGCAAGAGTCACATTGGATCACTTTCTTATACCATAAACAAAAATAAACTCGAGATGGATTAAGGTAAAACCTGAAACCATCAAAATCCTAGAAGAAAGCACAGGCAGTAATGACTCTGACATCAACGATAGCAACACTTCTTTAAATAGCTCTCTTGTGGCAAGGGAAATAAAAGCAAAAATAAAGTATTGGGACTACATGAAAGTAAAAAGCCTCTGCACAGCAAAGAAAACTATCAACAAAACTAAAAGGCAACCTAGTGAATGGAAGAAGATATTTGCAAATGAAATGTCTAAGGAATTAGTATACTGGGCCACCTGGGTGGCTCAGTCAGTTAAGCATGTGACTTTGGCTCAGGTCATGATTTCATGGTTCATGAGTTCAAGCCCCACAGATTGTCTGTACTGACAGCTCAGAGCCTGGAGCCTGCTTCAAATCCTCTATACCCTCCCTCTCTCTGTCCCTCCCCCATTCATGCTTTCTTTCTCTCTCTCTCAAAAATAAACATTAACAAAATTTAAAAATAAAAAAGGTATTAGTGTACGAAATATATAAGGAAGTGATACAATTCAATACTCAAAATACAAATAACCCAATTTAAAAATGGTCAGAAGACATGAAATTTCACCAAAAAAGACATTCATATGGCCAACACATACATAAAAAGATATTTAACATCACTCATCAGCAGGGAAATGCAAATCAAAATTATGATGAGATACCACTTCACACATGTCGGAATGGTAAAATGAACAACACAAGAAACAAAAGTGTTAGTGAGAATGGAGATAGAGGAATCCTGGTGCACATTTAGTGGGAATAAAAACTAGTGCAGCCACTGTGGAAAGCAGTATGGGGATTCCTCCAAAAGTTAAAAATAGAACTATCCTATGATCCAGTAATTGGACTATTGGGTATTTACCCCCAAAATGCAAAAAAACTAATTTGAAGGGATACATGCATCCCTGTTTATTACAGCATTATTTACAATAGCCAAATTATAGAAACTGCTCAAGCAGCTATCAATGGACACTGGTAGATGAATGAGATATCTAGGATATATCACATATATAATTTAGCCACACAAAAGTGAAATTGCCATTTGAAATACATGAATGGAGCTTGAAAGAATAATGCTGAGTGAAATAAACCAGTCAGAGATAGACAATTACCTCATGATTTTGCTCAATGTGGAATTTATGAAACGAAGTTAATGAGCAAAGGGGGGAAAAGAGACAGAGAGAGTCAAACCAAGAAATAGACTGTTGACCATAGAGAACAAACTAATGGTTAACAGAAGAGAAGTGAGAAGGGGGGATGGGTTAAATAGAAGATGGAGTTTAAGGAGTTCACTTGTGATGAACAACAGGTATTGCATGGAATTTTTGTACACCTGAAATTAATATTACACTATGTTAACTACTGGCATTAAAATTAAAAACTTAATAAAAAATAAAAATATCTTGGGAGAATAATTGGCTTTGATTCCTTGTGATGTGTGATTATTGATGTTATGGGTAATCTAAGCATAACTGTTAAGAACAAGAATATTGAATAAATGTGTAAATAAAAGTTTTGAAAAATTTAGGTGAACTTCTAAGGACCCTTGTCTGGCTCACATGGTAGACCATGCAAGTCTTGATGTTGGAGTCATACATACAAACATAGAGCTTACTTAAGAAAAATAAATTATTAGGTAAACCTGAATTTTTTAAAATATTTTTGAGGAAAAGAGAGGCAGAGCGTGACTTAGAAAGGGCAGGGAGAGAATGGGAGACACAGAATCATAAGCAGAATCTAGGCTCTGAGCTGTCAGCACAGAGCCCAACTTGAGGCTTGAACCCATAAATCCCAAGATTATGACTTGAGCTAAAGTCTGATGCTTAACTGACTAAGCCATCCAGGCACTCCAGGTAAACTTTAGTTTCCAAAATCTTTGATAAACTGAAATCTTAAAGTTCCACTGAGTTAGAGTAAGTAATAATTTCAGTTAAATTTGTTAAATATCTAGATAATTTCCAAAGAAGTTAAAGTAATGAAACATTATTTTCATTAACATAGACTAACATTTCTAAGCATAGGCTTCTCTAATTTTGGCTTCTTTAATAAAGATAAATGTAGGTCTGTTGATAAGCTTTTTTTGGCGTTCTTTAGTGAAAGTTTGTAATATTAAAAAGCACATTTCTAGAAATTATAAAATGTAATTATAAATTTGCCAATCTAAAGAATGGTGGTATAACACACTTAAAAAGTACTTACTACTTAGTTTTCACTAAAAATTGAAGTCTAAGAGTTAAGAACTCTAATTAATGTATGTGGCCAGAGTTACTAAAAATAAAAAATGAAACATCTCTGCATGAAGGAAAAGTAAAAAAAAAAAAAGTGTGTGTACTGGAGATGCACATTTTTTTGAGGTTAAAAAATTGTAAGAAAGTTGTGAGAAAGGAATCTTTGATAAGGAATTTTATGCATGGTCAGATTTGACTCATATTGGAATGGACAAATTTTATTACAAAGGTAAGCTGATGCAAAATTAGAATTTGGTTTCCTGTTTGTTAAAAGCACAAATTCAGGTTTGTGTGTGTGTGTGTGTGTGTGTGTTTTAACATTTGATCTACTTTTGATAATGTTTGTGAAAGTTTCTTTACCATTTAAAAGATCTTCCTAAAATACAAAGATCTTGTATTTTGTTTTATTTGTATAGATATATGTGTTCTAGAAATTATGTGAAATTTCTGGAAATTTGATATCCCCTAGTATAATGTCATTGCTTGTAATTAGTCTCTTACTTTCTGAAATTGCTGTAATCAAAATTGAGGCTCACGTTAAAAGAAATACACCAGAGTATTGGGAAAATGCGCCAGCTGACTTTCATGCAAAGGCAGCTAGCAAAAAAACCTATAAAGACAATGGCACACGTGGATAAAATCAATTCTGCTGCTACAAAAATGTCCTCATATTGTGAGATCTTTGCCATTCTGATGTTAGAGTAACAGCAACACTCTGCTTTTCAGTCACAGAAAATAAGATGGGTAACCAATGGTTGTAAGTTGAACACTCATGGCGTTAGGAAACACAGGACAGCTGCTTGATTCTTTCTGACTTCTGGGTAAGCTCCATTGTTTTTGTTTTTTTTCATTCCCTCAACCATTATAAGTGCATTTAAGATGACTCAAACTATGGCTAGACATTACTCAGGAGACTTCTATAATATTGTGGGAATAATCTACCAGCAATGTCTGACTTCTCAGGTCCATTATTCCGGAAAAAATATTTTTGCACCTAGAGGCCTCACATCTATTCCCTATGGACTTTGAACACCTGCAGCTGGTCTTTAATCAATTGCCACCAAATTGGGATTACCAATATGTTTTTTATTATATATGTGTTTTACAATTAGGTTGAAGCTTTCCCCTGCAGCAAGGCTGAAACCTGCACAGTGCCAAAGTAACTGTTAATAATTTCTTTTTCTCCTCCTCTCTTACTTTGAAAATATTATTTTCCTACAGTACAATGAAGTTCCTCTCTATTTGCTAGATAAGATGCTGCCTAATTCATGAATCATTAAATAAAGCCAATCAGCTCTTTACAGTTTTTGATTCGAATTTTTTTTTAAAAAACATAATATACATTGTTTCCCTGGTAAAAGATATTTAGACGTGAGATGATGGGTGTCTGACGGCAGCAATTCTTGGGGAAAGTACCTATCCACTGACACTCCTGACGTTCACATGAACCTCTTTCAATTAACAGGAATAGTTTGTTCTCCAACCGCTTTCTGAATATTTCCAAATAGTTAAATTCTCTAAATGGCTTACACTCATCCACCAGCCATCCTTCCCCTCATCCTTTCAAGTCCACAGTACCCAAAATCGAGCATCTAGTCTTCCTCACATTTAGACCACCAGATCTCTAGTTCTATTTTTATTTTTTTAAATTTTTATTTATTTTTAATAGTTTATTGTCAAGTTGGTTTCCATGTAACACCCAGTGCTCATCCCCACAAGTGCCCTCCTCCATGTCCATCTCCTCCTTCGCCTCCCCCCCACCCCCATCAGCCCTCAGTTTGTTCTCAGCATTTTAGATCAGTACTCAATCCAAAGTGACTTGTTACTTACCAGCTCCTGAAAGAAAAGAGACTTGGTGTCAGCGTTGAGCTCTGAAAGTGTCCACTGGCAGTGCAGGAAATGCTGAGTCTGAAGTGCTCACCCAGGAACACTCCTGTTCACAGACCGTCCTTGCACTGGAACAAGTCCTGTGTGCTGGTGTGGTCCCTGCAGAGATTAAAGAACTTACTGGTTTCCAAACATCTAAACGATGTATGAGGAGCTGGCAGGATTTAAACAATCTCTGGTATCTGCTCCACCCTCACATGAACCTGGCCAATAATAAACAAACAGCCATCACAGTGCAGAACCCTGCATTTCCAAGAACAGAAAGTGAAATCAAAATTCTGAGGGCCCCTTTTCCGTGAAACACAGCCATTTCCAAGAAATGAAACTGAAAGTCACCATGTCCATAGATTTTGTGTATTTTTGGCATCATAAGTGAGAGGAGGGCAGAGACACCCAGGCAGAAGGCTTGTCAGTGACCCCTGAGAGGACACTCTAACCAGGCCCCAGACACCAGGTCAGGAAGAATCTGAATCCAGAATCAGAGAACACAGGCCTGAGTCCTGGGAAAATGACACTCAGTCCCCTTCATTACTCTTGGACAGCCCAGACTCTATGGAGAGTGAAGTCTAAAAAGAATATATCTAGTTCTTGTCCCTGGTTCCTGGCAAAGAGCACCAAAAAACCTGGACATTGCCTGAGTGAGTGAGAGGAGTTGACTTTGTTATGCTAATTAAATGATTCCAGACAATTTCCTAGATAGCTTCAGGTCAGTGGCAGGTCACCAGAAAGACCAAGCATGTGAATAGAGTGTGCAGACTTTGGACCAGCTGGAACTCTTGGGAGGAGAAGGGGGATGGAGATTAAGACCCTCCCCCCACCAAGTGCAGCAGCTAGTGTGTGACTTGAGGGCAGTCTTCTGAAGGACTGAGCCCTGAAACCTGGGGAGTCTGCTAACTCTGGATGGTAAGTACAGGAATTAAAAGGCAGTGTACCCAGTTGAGGTGGAAACTGAATAGGGAGTAGCCGTGTGTCCTGGGGAGCCATATTTTGGCTTTATTTTATGTTTTTTTCATTTCTTTGCCGAATAGAAATCCACTATATAGTTTCTAATTCAACAGTTATAAGATGTATGCACCAGAGGGACCATGCCATTTTTTCAGGTCTATTTTATGCATATATGAGCAAACATGCACAATCTATTTCCTCTTGTTTACAAAAATGATAGCATTCCTACACAATGTCCTGAGCCTTGATTTTTTATTTGATATTGGGTTCCAGATGAGCACACTCAAAGCTCCTCCTATTAAACTATTGTACCTCTAAAATAACATAACAGTATATGTTAACTAACTGGGATTAAAACAAGAACTTAATGTAAATAAATAAATAAAGTAAAAACAGTAAAATAAAAATATTTTTGTTAATGTTTTTTCAAACAGACATCTGTTTTACTGATAATTAGGTCAAGAAATAAGACCTATGTGAACTATATCTCAATAAAACTGACATTTTTAAAAAGAAGACAAAGAAATGGGACCTGCCATCGGCCGAGTAAACTCTGGTGATGCTTTGCAGGTAGCAAGCCCTCCTCCAATGTAGTTTCTTCCTTTCCTTTTTTTTTTAAATTGAGGAATAAAATGTCATGTTAGTTTTAGGTGCACAACTTATTTAAAATATTTTTTTATTCTTCAGTTTATTTATTTTGAGACAGAGACAGAGACAGAGAGAGTGTGCAGGAGAGCAGAAGAAAGAGGGACAGAGAGAATCCCGAGCAGACTCCACACTGTCAGCATGAAGCCCAATGAGGGGCTTGAACTCACAAACCATGATATCATGTCCTGACCTGAAGCCAAGAGTCAAATGCTTAACCAACGGAACCACCCAGGTGTCCCCGGGTGCACAACATATTAATTCAACAATTCTATATATTACTCAAAGTTCACCACAATAAGTGCAGTCACCATCTGTCACTGTACAACATTATTACAATATGTTCCCTCTGTTGCACTATTCATCTCTGTGGCTTTTGTATTTTATAACAGGAAGTTTGTACCTCTCATTTTCTCTTTTTTATTTTACTTTACTCCCACCTACTCCTCTTCTGGAAACTACCAGTTCATTCTTTGTATTTCATAGTCTGTTTTGTTGATGTTCATTTGTTTGTACAGATTTTACATATAAGTAAATTTATATGGTATTTGCCTTTCTCTGACATATTTCGCTTAGTATAATACCTTCTAAGTCCATCTATGTTGTTTCTGATGCCAAGAATTCATTCTTTATGATTGAGAAATATTCCATTTACACATCGTCTATATCCATCTATCTATCAATGCACACTTGCATTGCTTCCATATATTGACTATTGTAAACAATGCTGCAATAAACATAGAGGTGCATATGTCTTTTTGAATTAGTGTTTTCTTTCTTTAAGTAAATTCCCAGGAGTAGAATGACTGGCTTATAACTCCATACACATTTCTGCAGTAGTAGCACCAATGTACAATCCTACAACAATACTTGATAGTTCCTTTTGTCTCACATCCTCACTAACACTTATTATTTTTTATCTTTCTAATAGTAGCCATTCAGACTGGTTAAGATACTGTCTCATCGATGTTTTGATCTAAATTTTCCTGATGATTATTGATGTTGAACATCTTCTCATATCTCTTGGTCATCCATATATTTTTGTTTGTTGTGAGTTGTCTATTCAGGTCCTCTGCCTTTTGAAAATTTGATTTTGTTTTTTTTTTGGTGTTGAGTTGTACAATTTCTTTATAGGTTTTCTATATTATCCCCTTATCAGATTTCCAAATATCATCTCTTATTTACTGTGTTGCTTTTTTGATTTGTTAATGGTCTCCTTCCCTGTGCAAAAGATTTTTATTTTGTTGTATTCATAATAGGGTTTTTTCCCTTTTGTTATCCTGCCTGGAGAGACATATTCATAAATATGTTGCTAAGGGAGATGACTAAGAGATTACTGCATATATTTTTTTAGGAGTTTTATGGTTTCAGGTCTCACATTTAAGTCCTTAAACCATTTTGAGTTTTGTGTATGGTTTAAAAAGTGGTCCACTTTCATTCATTTGCACGTAGTTACCCATGGTTTTCCTAAAACCATTGTTGAAAAAGCTGTCTTCTTCCTGTGGGAGCCCGACAGTGACCACAAGAAAGCGTGGTTAGGGACGCGGGGATGTGCCTGCACACGGGGCTCCCTGCCTGGGCAAAGCCTGCCTGCAAACAGGATGCTCTGCCAGGAGGCCTCCAGACAATATCCAAGTTTAATGGTCCGCTCGCAAACGAGGGAACATGCCCTCCTTAGAAGTAAGAAGAAGGCTGGAATTGTGGGCAGGCCTCTTAGTAAACATGTTGTGGTCGCTTCCTCCCTTTGCTCCCCCCAATCCTTGAAATGTGTTTGGCTACTTGCCCTTAATTGGTAAAGGAATGCATCTTGTAGATTTCAGTTTGTATCCAGTTACCGGGGTATAAAATAAACCGCAAGAGGGGCTTGGGTAGAGTTGTTCCTCCGGCCGGAGTTGTGTCTGTGTCTGTCCTTTGTGTGTGTCCTGTCTTTGTGTCATTTCGTTCGCTACACTTCCTTTGCATATTCTTACCTCCTTTACATTAATGGACCACATACATGTGGGTTTATTTATGGACTTTCAATTCTGTTCCATTTATTTTTTTATTATTTTAGAGAGAGACTGCATGAGCAGTAGAGTGGGGAGAAGGACGGAGAGAATCTTAAGTACGCTACATGCTGATCAATGCAGGGCTCAATCCCACAACACTGGGATCATGATCTGAGTTGAAAGCAAAAGTCAGACTCACAAATGACTGAGCCACGCAGGCACCATTGATTTTGTGTCTACTTTTGTGCCAGTACCGTACTGTTTTAATCACTATAACTTTGAATATAACTTGAATTTCAGAACTGGGATGCCTCCAGCTTTGTTTTTCTTTTTCAAGACTTTGGCTATTTGGGGTCTTTTGTGGTTCCACACAAATTTTTGGATTGCTTTTACCAGTTCTGTGAAAAATGCTGTTGGTATTTTGATAGGGATTGCATTAAATCTCTACATCCTTATGCATTATATGGGCATTTTGACAGTATTTGTTCTCCAAATCCATGAGCATGAATATCTTTCCATTTGTTTGTGTCATCCTCACTGTTTTTCATCAATATTTTATAGTTTTCAGGGTACAAGTCTTTCGCCTCTTTGGTTGTTTATTCCTAGGTATTTTTTTCTAATCTTTGGCACAATGGTAAATGGGATTTTTTTCATAATTTCTTTTTCTGCTACTTCATTATTACTTTACAGATATGCAGTGAGTTTTTGTACACTGATTTTGTATCCTAAGATCTTACCTAATTCACTGATGAGTGCTAGTAGGTTTTGGGTGGAATATTACGGTTTTTTAAATATATTATTTCATCTGTAAATCTTGAAAGTTTTTATTTATTGTTTAAAATTTTTTAATGTTTTATTTATTTCTGAGAGAGAGATCGAGAGAGAGAGAGAGAAAACGCCTGAGCAGGGGAGGATCAGAGAGAGGGGGATACAGAATCTGAAACAGGCTACAGGCTCTGAGACAGTTGTCAGCACAGAGCCTGATGCGGGGCTAGAACCCACCAACTGTGAGATTATGACCTGAGCTAAAGTCAGAGGCTTAATCGACTAAGCCACCCAGGCTCCCCAATATTGAAATTAAAATTTTTTTTAATGTTTATTTACTTTTGACAGACAGAGTGAGCAGGGGACGGGCAGAGAGACAGGGAGACACAGAATACGAAGCAGGCAACAGGCTCCTCGCTGTCAGCACAGAGCCCTACACAGGCTCGAACTAAGGAACCATGGGATCATTACCTGAAGAAAAGTCAGCTGCTTAACTGACTGAGCCACCCAGGAATCCCTGTAAACAGTGAAAGTTTTACTTCTTCCTTACCACTTTGGATGCCTTTTATTCATTTTTTATGTCTGAATGCTGTGGCTAAGACTTCCATTATTAGGCTGAATAAGAGTGGCGGGAATGAACACCTTTCTCTTGACTCCTGTAGTTTTTCACATTGAATATGATGTTACTTATGGTGTTTTCACAGCTAACATCATTATGTTGAAGTTTGTTCCTTCTAAACTTACTTTGTTGAGGGTTTTTATCATGAATAAATGTTTTGCTTTGTCAAATACTTTTGCTGAACCTATAAAAATCATTATATGATTTTTACCTTTTCTCTTGATGTGAACATGATGTATCATGTTGATTGATTTGTCTGAGTGATATGC